TTTATATTTCGTCTGATTCTGTATGGTGTATAATTAGTTGATATCTGAACTGATGTTGGGACAATCATTTACCAACCATCACTGACTGATGTGATCAAGTATGGTCAAACAACCCCCATGACTTACATGCCTTTTATCTATTAGTGGAAGTGACAAGGGCCTGTGAATTAGAACTGTTATACTGCAGGTTTACAAGACTGTTGCAATACAATGTGGGTTTAAATAACTAAATGCAATAGTTACTGGACACATTTGCTTATGTATTTATGCTTACATTTCCCCATCATATGTTTGGAAGTTTCATGCAGAAAGTCTTATCGCAATGAACCTTGATTGCGTCATTTGTTTCTTGTGTAAGCTACTGCGAGTTTTGCTTCCCGAGCACAATGGGAAATACATCAGCCACACACGAAGCCATGCACAGCTACTTGGAAATGTTGCGTTATCCGTGCCTTTCATGAACAATTTGCTGGGAAAATTGAATTAACGCCATTGTGTTATATCAGCATTGTGATGCTGTGTCCAGTTGCTGTGTTTTTCTGTGTCCAAAGTGGTAATGCTTCTCTTTATGCTATGGCTGGTGGTAGCGGTGTAGCATGGTGTGGGCAACCAACGATTCAGGCCTAGGGGTTACTTACAACTTCAAAACCATTGCGTGAAACCATCGGAGGGACCTTATCTTGTGTGCTCTTGTAGATACTCAGCCTTCCTATTGTAACTTCATTACAATTGTTCTGGTTTCTGCTACTGAAGGGTCTCTTACAACTAAAGCACGGTTGGCTACATACGAAAGGCACGCTGAACTACTTTAGTGTACACTGGTGATAGTAATAGATAAAAATGAATGCACATCCCTTTGTAGGGGGTGGGCTAGGGAGGAGGGTGGGGGGGATCAGGTCCCCAGGATCGTTTCAGATATCATTCGCCACTGATGGCCGGAAATCAAACTCAGTTCACCAGTTTCATAACTCGGTGCATCAACCAGTGTACCACCGCTGGCACCCCCCAGTTTAAACAGTATACGCATGGAAAATAATGTGCACCACCTATCCCCTTCCTCATTTTCCAATTGAAATAAGTTGTTACGAAAGGTTTTATTTTTATTGACACCAGATGTGATTCTCCAATAGTAAAAAAAAATCTACGTGCATTTCGATTGTTTCTGCATTTTTATTTGTTTTGCTTGTTAAACCATTTTCGCTCCGGTGGATACAAACGTGTGCCCGTCAGCTGTCGTGTGCGCAATGCATTGTGGTGCTGCAGAAGTGTGCCAGGAATGTAATGGTACATGACAGTTTGCTGTTTGGTTCAGCAGTCTTAGATGGGATTGAGATTGTTTGGACTGCATGCTGTTTGACAGGCCTCTTTGTCTGTGCACAATCAACTGGCACATCCTATCCAGATGTGTAAATGAGTGTTAGGGCAGTAGCTAGCTTGCCTGTGAGCACACATGCATTCACCCTTTTGTGGTTTCCCTTGCTCTGTAATATTTGCACTTTAGTTCACAATGAAGCCGGTTATTTAAAGAAAGTATAATTTAGAACATATACCTTTTCCCACAAGATCATGAACAAATATATATTAGGTGTAAATTGTAAAAATACATCGGAAATAGTAGGGGTGTAATGATGCCTTTATTCATCGATTAAAATAATTTATTCTGCATGGAATCGCTTGCATAAGAATCAATTACATGTACCTGCATTTAAATATCGTATACCTTGTATTTAATGGGTTGTCGTGCTGCCACAATCAGCTACTAGAAAAAGAGGAATCGATTTTTTTAATTGAATCGCAACCCTAAGTTTGTGACAATTTATTGGATTTTAAGGGAGGAGGAGGGAGAGAGAGGTATTACAGGCATGTTACATTTTTAAGTATCACAAATATAATGGAATATACTCAATATAGACTAAGTTTGTGTTATATACTCTTTGGTTCTTTCGGTAAAGTCACGTAGGTAGAAATAATAATAGATCACGACGTTTCGATCGCAATAACAAGCGACCTTCAGGTGAGATTATATAACACGCCTTTTATTAGAACATAGCACATGTGCCAATGACATTGACGTGTGTGTGTATCTTTACATATATAGAATGCACTGTACATATAATAGTTTCATTTATATACAGTGCATAGCTTATTTGCAGCAGGAGAGAATTTGTCATCTGTTCAAATATATAAAACGCTGTCATTGAATGGTCTTATCCCATGAGATCTGTATATATATAAATAATCCATACTACGATGTTGATATTTGAGGAGAATATGCAAACAGAGTTCAAATAAAGGGGCGAAACTGTGTGGGTCTAGGACGCAAGGCAGAATTGATTGAATTTTTGATGGGAGGTTTGCAAGGTCGGCCCATTGATTTGATTGCATTGGTCAGGGTCGGAAGCACCATGGGTTGAGGGAAGCCTTCTTCTAACAGTAATGTTGCACGAGTAAGTGGATTATTCTCTGCACCAATGTCATGGCTCACTTGCAAGTAAACAGGATGCACGGGCTCTGCTGTATGAGTAAAAAAATGGATGAGAAGGGGCATTTGTATGCAAGGGCTTCTTTTCGCAGCCTGTGTCGAGTCATGTAATGCTATAATAATAGGGTGTTTCCCCTTTTTTCTGGCAACAAAACTGAAACCTTTTTACAAGGATTCATGTCTGCATTAACCACAATACCTGCAGTCAAAATACAAACAAAAAACATACTATGATAATATATGCATTGTCCTTGAAACTGATTGGTCCACACCAAGGGACGGCTTTCTTTTGAACCTCAACCCAATTGGTGCTCGACCAGATGACGCCAAAAAGCTGTACGCGTCACCTGGTCGAGCACCAATTGGGTCGAGGCTCAAAAGAAAGCCGTCCCTTGGTGTGGACCAATCAGCTTCATGGAGAATGCATCATATATTATCATAGTATGTTTTTTGTTTGTATTTTGACTGCAGGTATTGTGGTTAATGCAGACATGAATCCTTGTAAAAAGGTTTCAGTTTTGTTGCCAGAAAAAAAGGGGAAAAACCCCTATTATTACATTTTGGTACTGGCAAAGGAGGTCTAATGATCATGTAAATGCTATTTAAATAAAAGTTATTGACGACTTGTTCTTTTTCCTTTGCAACATGATACAACGAGAACATTCTTACAATTAGTTCACGCTTCAATTGCCAACCTGGTTGACCAATTACATGGTACGTTCAAGTAACCTGAAATGCTTGGCTGATTAACATTGATGGATAACATTTTATTCAAGAGGTTATTATTTTAATGTGATTATTACAATATTCTAGTGACAGTTATTTCGATGAGGTCCGCTTTCTAAGTTTTTGACATTAAAATGAAAATGCCGTTTTCTTAAAAAAATATTTCTCAGGTATTGACTCTCCCAAGCAGATGTTGAGCATACTAAGTTTATCATCTATCAAATGAGCTCTTAAGAATTCTCAATACGACCAATTATTGTATGACCTCTGGACTAAGTACTTCAACTGGGGGTTATACTTTGTGATTCCCATTTCAAATACAAAAATGTAACTTGGTATACTTTGCATGTTAGCAATACAGGAGCGACTTTGTTTTGGATAGTTTTATATTTGCCAAAGCTTTAATATGCTATGCAATGTAATTTAGTCCACAGTGAATTTAATGTAAAAAGTGAAGTTGTCTGTAACACATCAAGAAAGCTAATACAATGCATGCTTTTCTTTATTAAATACAATTTATTTTGTCTGAATAATGTTGTATTGTGTCCTATTTTTTGCATTAAAATAACTTTGAGGTGATTCAGTGCCATACAGTAGGCAGCAAATAGAATATATTCTGTAAACTTGAATAATAACAATCATTGTTGCAACATATTTAACCCCCAGGAGTCAACCCATAATAATTTTAACTCATAAAGTGCAAACGTGTGAATATATTTTACAACATTTCAATATTATTGCCTAAACAGCTAATTTAACATACGAACAAGCGTAACTTTATTCATTTAGGAATATTTTGGCACACCTTTCGGTCACGAGTAAATGTCATGGTTTTTTAATATATTTAACGTAAGCTTTCTCTCCATCTAAGTTCTGTGTTAGACTCTGCCTCTCAGTTGTCTGTCGTTCCACCTGCCTTGTGCTTGGTATTTGGTGGCAGCTGGCCAGGTGCTATGCAGGCACACGTTAAGCTGGGCCTGGTTCCTTTTGTAGACTTTTGGGGGGGGGGGGGGGAGTTTAATTTGCCTTTCTTTTACGTGTCTGAGCTACTTTACCAGTAAAAGGAAAGCAGTAAATTTTACATTTTCGTGTGATTTGTAACCTGCAGAAAATGGAACAAATGCACGTCCTGTTCGTTCAGAATAGTTAATTAAATACAGTGACTGTGGATGCATTGTTATTACCTTTGAATAGGTGGAATGCACGGCTGTTTAGATTCCCCACTACGCTCTGTAAATAGTGGGATAATGTGAATAAATAAATTAACCCAGCATTGTGATATGTCTGGATGTTAACATGTTTGGTTAAAATGAAGCAAAGAGCCCGAACGTTGAAAATATGGACTGCTGTGTAAATGTTGTAGATATTTCAGACATTTTGTTAAAATTCACATTTAAATAACTAACTTGGCATGAATGTATTACAGCTACGTATCATGCTCTTTTAAGCAAAACATGTTTCTAATTTATATAGTGTTTGCTGTAAATTTTACACAAGTATACAAATTTTACTGTTTATATTAGATACTGCCCTTCAATACAAATATTCCAATGCGTGTTTTATATGAAATGAACAAGTTGTAGTTATGTACTAGAACATATATGTATATTTTAATGACATATTTCTGTTTACAATGAAAGCAAGCATACGTATAATCTGCACTTATTACTGGTAATGGAATTCTGAAAATAATCTTCAAGGACATAGTGCCGATGCAAACCTTTTAACATAAAAACATTTTGGATTGTGTGCAATATTTAAATGGGTATCGTTGTTTCTTTGCCATTAACAGAGGATGCTGTTGAAGAAGCACTGCGCCTCAAGAACTCGGCTGGTAAAAATTCGGGTGAGTTGGAATTCACTTCGTCATCAGTATTTGGTTGTTATTGCCCCATTCAATTAACCAATGTGGTTGGATGAAGCGGTGGTATTTGCGAGCCTGCAATCAAAAGGTTACGGAGTTTAAATCCCAGTCAGAGGTCATCTCAGTCCTTCATCCCTCTGGGTTTGATACAATCTGAATTCCAATACATTGTGGGGAAATAATCGGTGGTTTTACGATAGAAAGACTTGCCCTCGTTATAGTAATGTGGAATTGTCACCAATGATTTAAGGCTGTAAACAGGAGACAAGGTCACGCACACGTTTATTTGAGCAGGAAACCAATTTGGCTTTTTAAACTTTAATATAATCAACCAATTGTTCCATTTGCTGAGATGTAACGTAAATGTTTGGATTAGCTATACAAAAATATATGTAGTCCTTCAAGTTGAAGATCTACAAAAAAACATTTAAAATTGATGATGTGCACCGGGAAAGATGAGAAATCGATGTTAAGTATTCTAGATTTAACGTGATGGTTCTGTTTATTCATTATTGGTATTTTTTATATTTTAAAGATTGATGTTTATACTTTTTGAAGGTGTAGCAGCACATTCCATGTTCATCACAAGTATAAAGTGTTATTGGTGGGATTTTGAACTATCTTTGCAAAAACTATTCCACGTAAAAACGCGAATTTTTTATTCTATATGCCATAACATATATAGTTTTTATATATACACACACACACACAACAATTATTATTGCAAAGGATAACTTTGTTTCGTTCAGAATGTTGTTTTTTGAGAAATTATGCATGGATTGGTCAAAATAAATATTCATTATTTTATTCGAGCACCATATTGCATGAACTACATGCATAACCTGTGACTCCAGGACTTCTGAATTTGTTGACGTAGGCTCAATGATCACCAGCAACTGGATTCTGGCATGTCCCATAAATAATAATGCACAGTAAGTGTCTCATTCGAAGCAGTTGTCCTTTTTATCCATTTACTCCCATGATAATATGCAAATTACAAGACTTTAACACTGAATTGTAGTTGATACAAAACAATTAAATATTTGACTCGAGCACATCATGTGTATATGCATTCAGTTCACTGGGTTTGCTCGTCATTTTGATTACAGGTGCATTAACTGGATACATTTTTTGTATGGTACGGTCAATGGGTCATGCTGTCTTTAATAGGGTTGTATTTTTATCCTGTACTGTACTGTTTAGTAAACATAAAACAACAACAAATGATACACATTTTTTATAGATCAATGGAATCGCCCTACTCGAAGAGGCTGACAATTATCCTGTTGATGCATCTGACCACTCTAGTCGCAGTTTTATTTGCAGCATTAAGACCTGCATGTGAGTGGATAGAAGAGAAATAGAGTCTTGATATGTGACGAACTTATCAAAATGATTTGATAAAGACCAATGTCAAGTAACGTACCTAAATGAAAATATTATTGCATTGGTGATGATGATGATTATTATTAGTAGAGTTGCTTTTATAAGAAATGCACATTTTTACTTATTTTGTGGTTTGCAAGCAAATTAATTAAAACATGATCTGGAATTGTTTACCTGCTGAGAGCAAAAGGAGATCCATCATACTAATGAGGTCAATCAACTTGTACATCACTAGATTACTGGTGATAAATCCATCAGTTCGACAATCTGCTTAAAATATTACTCAGGAGTTTGCAATTTCAATTCTGAATTTAAATGGCGAGACGTTAATGTCCCACTTTATCAAGTAAAATAGCTCACTACACAGGGGGCATTTTGTTAAAAGAGCCATGTAGCCGACACAGTCAGCTCATCGTAAGAATCTATTAATTCAGTGTTCTAACAATATGGTTGAGCAAAAGATGAGTCACATGGAGAATATTCATGCAGATGAGAAGATGGAGCATGTGCATCCTTGGTGTGTTAGGTGGAGCATGACCTAAGACTCCAGGATTTCTAACGCTAACATCTACGTTTTGCGGACATTAGCTCCATTACCACTGGCAACTGGATTCTGACATTGTCCATGCATAATCATGCACAGAAAGTGTCTAATTTCAAACATTTTTCCTTTTTTCCCTTCCTCTCATAAAGCGCATTATCACATCCTGTGAAATTAATTAACTTTCCTGTTAAAAGTCAAATTCGGTCATTTACATCTTACAATTTCTGTTTCTGGACAAGGTTAACGTAAATGAAATATTTTAAAGATATGTTAATTGAATTTATCCAACCAAATGTACCACTACGATATCGTAAAATGTAGTTGAAGCAAACAATATACAACTCATGTAAATAATCTGCAGATATTTTTTTATGATCATGCAGTATTGGCCAAAAGGATACAAAAATATACGTCACACACTAATCAAACTCAAACTACCCTACATATATACACATGTGTACTTGCCCTGGCAGTCTTACACACCTTTTACACACCCTTTGTTAAGGTATCGCATCTATTGGTATTAACCTGGAAAATCCATGTCACTACCTTTGTCATTGGCTCTATACATACACTGATTAGTTGGTCATGACATGCCAAAAACAATCTGTCACGGCCAAATTGGCTCGGGTCGAGCGGACCCATTACAATGGGGATCCATCTGGCCTCCGCTCTGAGCTCAAACAGATGCAGAGTTTTCAGGACGGGAATCGATCACAGCCAAAATTTGCCGTATCGATTGACCCTGTCCATCACAGTAACGGCGCCGTGACATTGAATGGCTCCTCTTGGGCCCGTGAATGATTAGGGCCAAAGCCAAGAGGAATGGCCACACACACATGTAATGCATATTGCCACGTGTAAAGTAAAGAAGGGAAATGCGTTTAAGATCCTAGTTTGAGCTGTATCAGTTTTGAAATTGATTCTGTCATATTGTAATAAGGTAAGTATTATTTGTTTAAGAAGCAAATTCTTTATAGTTGTGTATTTTTTTTATTTGCCATGAGAGGCGGTTAGGTGGGTATATATTATTTTTTAAATGTGTTTTTGTCGAATGTAAGTGAATGATTGATGTGAAACACTAATTTTGTTGGATGAGAAATACTCCATACGGTACTTATTTAATGTATATTTGTTGTATTTGTTTCACGTTTGGAAAATTTTGTGAGAAAAATGCGCATATTCTATTCGTTAATCTTTTTTTTATGTGTTCAGTGGCTGTGCGCGCTGGCGACGGTGCCTCTGCGTTAGTAATGCAATGCCTGCCATGTTGCTCTGGGGGATGGGATTGAGTTTTGAACAAACGAGCTCACAACCTCCTTGGCCCTCTGTGCCACCCCCATTCAGATCTATTTCTCTCTGTGCAAGCGTGTGTGCACGCGTGCGCGTACACGTGTGCACGTGCGCGTTCACGAGTGCGCCTGTATCCCAGTGGGAAAGTGGTGGCATCGCGGTTGGCGTACTGCGCTAAAAACCCAGCGACCCGAGTTCAATTCCCAGCCACAGCTAACAGAAGTGGCGTCTGGACCAATCCTGGGCCTCCCATAGGTCGACACGGCCTTAATGAGTATATGGTGTGGTGTGTTACCATAAGCACTGGGGAGATATTGACAGCCAGACGTGGTGCTGACCACACTATCCCCCAAGTGCAGTGTTCCGGCAATCACAGGTGCTTCCTAACAGCACTTGCCCCAACAGCTTATGTAGGCTACTCAGGGGATCGTTGTCTTTGTGGGCGCCTGTTTCCCTCTGGTCTATGAGGCTAAACGGGAGATCTTTGTCTTTGTGTGCACGTGTGTGAAAGTGCATGAGTAAGTGCCTGCACTTTGTATGCATACTTGCTGCTTTGTGTAAGTGCATGTTTAGGGTGAGAGAAGGACTTTGTTCATACGGGGGGACGTGTGGGCGAGGTGTATGCACGTGTATGTATGCGTGTCTGGGCGAGGTGTAGTGTGTGTTTATTTGCTTGAAAATATCTGAAAATATATGGTTATGCTGCAGTTGGTTGTGCAGCTGTCTACATAGATAGTTTGACAGGACTTCATGGTGGTTTCGGAAATACCTTTTGCAGCTTTAAAATACAAGTGTTGTGCATTGTCAGCTTTCTTAGATAAATAATATAGGTCTTTCCTGTTGTTTACATCCAATTAAGATGCCTTACACACCATGTAATATGTGTTGTAAGTTCAATATAAAATAAATTAAATCAGATTTTTCTTTTTCAAGTATTTGAAAACTCATGGGACGGGTTTTGAAATGGAAATTTTTAAGACCACCTGCCTTGTATTTTTATAACACCTTTCAGCTTCAAACATTTAACGCATGTCAGCACCTCAAGGAGATTATAACATTCTGTATATAGTTTTCATTCCTTTGGGTATATTCTGATTATGCTCTTAAAAGAAAATAAACTATTTTAATCAAATCCACTGCTGGATGATGGTCTCCCCCCCAACCATGCTCTGTGTCGATCATGGGTGTTCTTAGACAATACCTCACCACGCTGGCCACTGCAGGCTGGTGAAGGGGATATAATGGTTTGTCTAAATAAATGGTAAAACATTATTAGGGCATTAGACCAATATAATGATATTCAGTAAAATTACATAGAAATTAAACTCCCGTGCTCAGCCAAGCTTTGCAAATCTCTGCTCTTTTTAAAAGGATCATGATATTTTGTTGAGGCGGGATGCTGATCGGCATGGTGATTAGTTAAAGGCATGCCGGTGCCTCGTTCATTTATATCTTCCGTTCTGCAGAGCAACAGCAGATTCCTGAAAAACTGATATCATCACTTAACATGTGGGCATGTTGATATACAATAAAGGCATTTATCTATATGTCCAGGTCTTCTAAAACATTCTCTAGAGCGTAATGGGGGAAAAACACACACTCGAAGGAATACATACATACACATGATGTCTAGAAACCCACAAATAACCAACATCTTTGGTAGTCCATTGTGTTCTTGGGTTGTACAGTGTTTTTTTACTGAAATTTGCTTTAAGGAGCTCCTTGCAGCGCGTTGAATGAAACGTCGGACGTCGTGCCG